TCTTCAATACAGCGAGAAACTCCCGCACCCGCAGGCGTGCTTTAGCTGGCCCCTAAACAAAAATATATACTAGTTCAGTGATAATGGACGTCATACTAAACTCCGAAATATACACAAGAAACTAAAATTTAAAATCATACAAGACTAATAAAGGCCAGAGGCTCCTGACTTGGGACAGGCGCAACAATGCGGCGGGGTTAAACATGTCTTTTGAGATCTCAACCCTCCCCCTTTACCTCTAGCATATGTAGAAAAAACAAACGAACAACAATACGCACAGTAAAACTCAGTTCAAAAAAGTACGAGTCCGATGTTAGAATAGGTAACAAAAGAAACTAAACAAAATGAAAATGTTAATTAACACCGGACTACTAGCAGTTACTGACATGTCAACTCCAGACCTCAATTAAACTGATTGAAAAATTATGTCTTCATCATATGAATATCAAGTACAATCCCTCCCGTTAGCGGTTTAGTATTATACCATCATAGAATATATGCGAAGAACATAACCCGTATCATGCCATATCAATTGGTTTTAGAATAAATGTGTTTATTTCCGATGCAAAGACCCTAAAGTACAACATCATACTAAAGTACAATGTTATGTTTTGATTACCTCCCTTACACTGCTTTTAAATTATGTATAAAGAAATGTTGTATTGTCTTGAGATGGTCACCGTAGCTGTCAATTTATTAAGTCTCCCAAACGAAGTTTGGGAAGACTTATTGTTTTTGCTGAAGTTCTAAATATTATTATTATTCTTCTTCTTCTTCCTCTTCCTCTTCCGCCACTTTTAAATTTGAACTTGTCCGCACCCGTTCTCCAAAACCGCTTGTCAGATTAACTTAGGATTTCACAATATGTTAGACTAACATGTCTAGTGGTGCAATCAGGGTTTTGTTTGTGCAATAGGGTCTATAAAGGGGTACTTTGAGGGGCGAAAAGAAAGGAGGGTTTGACTATATATGGGATTTTATTTTTTAAAATTTTCAAATGATTATGAATTGAAAACCGTTTGTGATAGACACAATCGTTTTAATTGAAAATGTTCTAAATGATAAAACACATTAAATGAAATACAGGGTTAGTCCCCAGGGGTCACCCACCCCCTGCCGTTTAAGAAAGTTCTAATACCTTGTAAGTGGTCAAGATCCCCACCCCTAAACCATATATATTCTGGTTTGTCATGCTAAGATGGTTTGAATGATATACAGGGTTAGTCCCCAGGGGTCATCCTGACCCCCTGCCATTTGTGAAAGTTCTAATAGATCTTGTAAATGGTCGAGATCCCCACCCCTAAACCATATATATTCTGGTTTGTCATTATAAAGCAAATCAAATGGAATACAGGGTTAGTCCCCAGGGGTCACCCCACCCCCTGCCATTTAAGAAAGTTTTTATATCTTGTAAGTGGTCAAGATCCCCACCCCTAAACCATATATATTCTGGTTTGTCATGCTAAGATGGTTTGAATCATATACAGGGTTAGTCCCAAGGGGTCATCCCGACCCCCTGCCATTTGAGAAAGTTCTAATATCTTGTAAATGGTCGAGATCCCAACCCCTAAACCATATATATTCTGGTTTGTCATTATAAAGCAAATCAAATGAAATACAGGGTTAGTCTCCAGGGGTCACCCCCACCCCCTGCCGTTTAAGAAAATTCTTATATCTTGTAAGTGGTCAAGATCCCCACCCCTAAACCATATATATTCTGGTTTGTCATGCTAAGATGGTTTGAATGATATACAGGGTTAGTCCCCAGGGGTCATTTCGACCCCCTGCCATTTGAGAAAGTTCTAATATCTTGTAAATTGTCAAGATCCCCACCCCTAAACCATATATATTCTGGTTTGTCATTATAAAGCAAATCAAATGAAATACAGGGTTAGTCTCCAAGGGTCACCCCACCGCCTGCCATTTAAGAAAGTTCTTATATCTTGTAAGTGGTCAAGATCCCCACCCCTAAACCATATATATTCTGGTTTGTCATGCTAAGATGGTTTGAATCATATACAGGGTTAGTCCCCGGGGGTCATCCCGACCCCCTGCCATTTGAGAAAGTTCTTATATCTTGTAAATGGTTGAGATCCCCATCCCTAAACCATATATATTCTGGTTTGTCATTATAAAGCAAATAAAATGAAATACAGGGTTAGTCCCCAGGGGTCACCCCACCCCCTGTCATTTAAGAAAGTTCTAATATCTTGTAAATGGTCGAGATCCCCACCCCTAAACCATATATATTCTGGTTTGTCATGCAAAGATGGTTTGAATGTTATACAGGGTTAGTCCCCCGGGGTCACCCCCAACCCCTGCCATTTAAGAAAGTTCTAATATCTTGTAAGTGGTCAAGATCCCCACTCCTAAACCATATATATTCTGGTTTTGTCATGCAAAGATGGTTTGAAAATATACAGGGTTAGTCCCCAGGGGTCATCTCCCACCCCCTGCCATTTGAGAAAGTTCTAATATCTTGTAAGTGGTCAAGATCCCCACCCCTAAACCATATATATTCTGGTTTGTCATGCAAAGATGTTTTGAATGATATACAGGGTTAGTCCCCAGGGGTCATCTCCCACCCCCTGCCATTTGAGAAAGTTTTTATCTTGTAATTGGTCGAGATCCCCGCCCCTAAACCAAATCTATTCCTGTTCGTCATATCTCGAACATTTGAATGACGTATAGGGTCAGTCCCCAGAGGTTCCCCCCCACCCCCAATGTTCTAATATCTTGTAAATGTTCGAGATCCCCACCCCTAAACCATATATATTCCTGTTCGTAATGTCTCTAACATTTGAATGATGTATAGGGTCACTCCCCAGGGTTCCCCCCACCCCCAATGTTCTAATATCTTGTAAATGATCGAGATCCCCACCCCTAAAAAATATATATTCCAGTTCGTCATGTCTCAAACATTTGAATGATGTATAGGGTCAGTCCCCAGGGGTTCCCGCCACCCCCAATGTTCTAGTATCTTGTAAATGATCGAGATCCCATCCCCTAAACCATATATATATTCTGGTTTGTCATGCCAAGATGATTTGAATGATATACAGGGTTAGTCCCCAGGCATCACTCATGCATATAACTTTACCAAACCAATTTTCAGTGGACTTTGCCCAATGTCAGACGACCCTGGGAATTACGAATTATGGGAGCTTCGTTTGGGAGACTTAGTAACAGCATTCTGTTACAATCATTTCTTGTTTTTAGAAGTTTCTATTAAATGATGATTAAGGAATATTCATTTTAGCCATTACTATGTATGACATTATCTATTTCAAGACTTTTATGATGTATGTAAATGGGTTACTATGGTTGCGACCTCCATTAGAAATTTGAATTGAGATTATGACCATATCTTGAGGGAAAGAATTCTTTTTGGGGAAAAAGGGGTTGGGAAGGTGAAAACAAATTTTGGGAGTTTGGGACGGGTAAAAAAGAAATGGGGGCGGGGTGTGGGGGGCATTTTTTTCTCATTTTAGATTTCAGAAATTAAAAAGAAAGTTTTTGCAAAAAAAAAAGGGGGGGGGTTCAATTTTTTTTTATTTTGGTGGTTGTGGTGGGTTAATACACAACAGCATAGTGTATTGCACAAAAGCAAAAAAAAAGTGGGGGTAAATATTTTTTTCATTTTTTTTTTTTGGGGGGGGGGTTAATTCACAACAGCATAGTGTATTGCACTAAAGCAAAAAATTGAATATAAATTCAAATCATATAAACAATTTTAAGTTTTTTGACTACAGTTATTCTGTGTCAGAAACCTATTTTGTGTCAAATATTTAATTACAATAATAATCCAAATTCAGACCTGTATCAAGCGTGAATATTGTGTTCAATTTTCCAACTGTTCACTCAGGGTTGGACCTCTGCGGTTCTATCCAGTTGCGCTCTACAAAGCATTTTATTTTACATTTAATCTTGGCTGCTTATCAATCGATTTCATTTGAATTTTTCCCTTGAACTTCTCTAATCTTGCTACATACATGTAGGGATTATTGGTGTTTTCCAGAGAGGAATATACATTTTTCTTTACTCAAAATTCCTGTCCTGCCTTTTTTCAAATTTCATCCTAGCCCCTCCCCCCCCCCCCCCCCCCCCACCCCAAATTGAATGGTAGCTCCCTTAACCATAGTTGCCACAAACACTTTTTATGCCCCTGCAATGATAGTTGGGGGGGGGGGGGGTATTGTTTCACTCCTGTCCATCTGTTCGTCCGCCCAAATATGCATACATAGCTTTTCCACATATGAACTCCTTCGACAGTTTGAATGCATAAAATTGAGAATGGAAATGGGGAATGTGTCAAAGAGTCAACAACCCGACCATAGAGTAGGTCATGGTTATTGTCAAGTAACTGAATTTATTAGCAGTTTTCAATGTTAATTTTTCTGCTTAAGTTTATAGCTATTTAATAGAAATTAATTGTGGTATATATCAATGATATTTTCTATAAAGTTGCATATCTATTTAAGCATATCACCTTGACAACTATTTTGAGGTCCTATCCCTAGTTCATATTAATTAGCAATGTTGCTGTCCATCAGATTATCTCTTCTGGTTTTTTTTCTGCAGACAGGTGAGACATATCTCTGAGTCAACAGTTTATTTATTATAAATAAGAAGATGTGGCTTACATGTACGTGCCAATGATACAACTCACCTACACGTTACAATGCATAACAAATTTTATAAGTCAAAGTACAGTCTCCAACACGGAGCCTGTAAATCATGTTGACATCTAACAACATTTTTTTCCTCATGAATAAAGAAGATGTGAGGTATACATCAATGAGGCAGAACAGCATATATACGTCTTGTACATGTTATATATAGTTTGGAATTAGTATTACCCAAACATACAGAGAAAGTCAAAATAGATATGTTATGTGTAATTTGCCGAAAGGTATGAAAAGGTTTATGTCTAAATTTGTTTTGGTTCCTTACAGAGTCGTGAAAAAACTCACATACCGGAGATAAACATTATCAATAAGATGTTAGAGGGAGGAGATGATTTAGTCACACTCACTGATACTCTACAGAGACACATAAACACACATGTCAATAAGATGTTAGAGGGAGGAGAGGATTTAGTCACACTCAATGGTACTCTACAGAGACACATAAACACACTTGTCAATAAGATGTTAGAGGGAGGAGAGGATTTAGTCACACTCAATTGTACTCTACAGAGACACATAAACGCACATGTCAATAAGATGTTAGAGGGAGGAGAGGATTTAGTCACACTCACTGGTACTCTACAGAGACACATAAACACACATGTCAATAAAATGTTAGAGGGAGGAGATGATTTAGTCACAATCAATGGTACTCTACAGAGACACATAAACACATATGTCAATAAGATCTTAGAGGGAGGAGATGATTTAGTCACAATCAATGGCACTCTACAGAGACACATCAACACACAGATTTGTAAAACACACCATAAATGTGATGTATGTGCTAGAGAATTTAGTCAAAGTAATGACTTAACAAGACACTTGAGAACACATACTGGTGAAAAACCTTATAAATGTGATGTTAGTTTTAAAGAATTTAGTCAAATAAGTCACATAAAGAGACACATGAGGACACATACTGGTGAAAGACCTCATAAATGTAATGTTTGTGCTAGTGAATTTTCTCGAAGTGGTGACTTAAGGAGACACATGAGAACACATACTGGTGAAAGACCTTATAACTGTGATGTTTGTGCTATTGAATTTTCTCGCAGTGATGTCTTTAAGGCACACATGACTACACATAGAGATGAACCTCATGAATGTGATTTACCGGTATGTGATAAAGGGTTTAGTGAGCTTGGAAGATTACAAATTCACATGAGAAAACATACTGGAAATAAACCTCATGTCTGTGGTGTATGTGGTAAAGGGTTTAGTCAGCATGGTAGTTTACAGAGACACATGAGAACACATACAGGTGTTAAACCTCATGACTGTGATGTATGTGGTAAACGGTTTAGTCAGCTTGGTAATTTAAAGATTCACATGAGAATACATACCAGTTATAAACCTCATGAGTGTGATTTATGTGGTAAAAGGTTTATTCAGCTTTGTGGTTTACAAATTCACATGAGAATACATACAGGTGATAAACCTTATGACTGTGATGTATGTGGTAAACAGTTTAGTCAGCATAGTATTTTACGAAACCACATGAGAACACATACAGGTGATAAACCTTATAATTGTGGTGTATGTGATCAACAGTTTAGTCAACGTAGTAGTTTAAATATTCACATGAGAATACATACAGGTTATAAACCTCATGAATGTGATGTTTGTGGGAAAGGGTTTAGTGATCTTAGTAATTTAAAGAAACATGTGAAAAGGCATACACATATACCATATTTCGTCCTTTTTGTAGAAAGAGGGGGAAGAATGAGTATCAGTTACTGTATATGTAAGAGCAAATCATTAATTTACAAGAATACCCAACGCATTGAAAGGGGTTTCTTTGGGGATAAATATGAAAAATTTATCATGCAAATTTAGTATTCATAGTACCCTCAAGAGAGGGAAGAATACCCCCCTCCTCATGTGGTTCTTTGCATCAATTCTCCAAATGGAACTTTGTGACTGGTTGATAAGTTCCGTTGGAACTTTTTGGCTAGTTTGTTAGTTCCGGTTTTGACTTATTTGCCAAAGAGGAACTTTGTGGCTAGTTGATAAGTTCCTTTTGACTTTTGTAATCAGTATCTTGGTTTCCCTTTGAAAGGTTCAAATATAATATGTTGCGTTTTTACTTTGCATCAATTCTCCAAATGGAACTTTCTGCCTGGTTGATAAGTTCCGTTGGAACTTTTGGGCTAGTTTTTTAGTTCCGGTTTTGACTAATTTGGCAAAAAGGAACTTTCTAACTAGTTGATATGTTCCGTTGGAACTTTTCAACTAGTCATTTTGTTCCGGTGGAACTTTTAAACCAGAGGAAGAACAAAGTAACTAGTTAATAAGTTCCTCCGGAACTTTTCGGCTAGTTAGTTCTTTCCGCCCGAAACTTTCCAACGTCGGAACAAAAGAGCATTTACATACACAGACCCGGAGGTGTGGCAAGTAAATGTTTGAGTATTCAGTATATGTTGGCAAGTCGGACATCATCCTGAGGTTGAACAGCTTTTATTAGAGGAGACATCAGCTCTCACATATATATATATATATATATATAGATCGGCGACCTCGTACAATTAGATTTTTCGAGGTCTGTTTGATTTCATGTTATAGGTTAAAAACAAAAGATAATTATCGTTTTTACCTGTATAAGAATGTTTTTCTGTGGATCGAGTCAGTCAATGAAATGGTTCACCTTTCTTACACTTTCAATGTTGCATGCATGACATTCTTTTCCTTTTAATGGCTGAAAACGACTAGTTCATGCATAACCAATCTATAGCTAATGAGTTAAATGGAAGGTCAATGAATACGGATTCATGGCCCATTACTATCAGTATCAGTACTAGTACATCTCAGTTTGTTGACTATTTTGAGTTCCTGTCCCTAGTTCATGGTCCATTACTATCAGTATCAGTACATCTTAGTTTGTTGACTATTTTGAGGTCCTGTCCCTAGTTCAGGGTCCATTACTATCAGTATCAGTACATCTCAGTTTGTTGACTATTTTGAGGTCCTGTTCCTAGTTCCTGGTCCAGTAACTCCATGTTAATAAGCAATGTTGCTGAACATCAGATTGTCTCTTCTGAATTTTTTTTTTCTGCGGACAGACGAGACATATCTTTGTGTCAACAGTTTATTTATTATTATGCTTGCCATTGAGACAACTCTCCATCCAAGTTACAATGCATGAAAATTTAATATTTTATAGGTAAAGGTCAGCCTTCAACACGGAGCCTGTAAATTATATTGACATTTACCAACATTGTTTTCCTTATGAATAAAGAAGATGTGAGGTATACATCAATGAGGCAGTACAGCATATATAATTCTTGTACATGTTGTATATAGTATGGGATTAGAATTAACCTTACATGCAGAGAAGGTCAAAATAGATATATGTTATATGTGTAAATTGCAGAAAGGTATCAAAAGGTTTATATGTCTAATTATCAATAAGATGTTAGAGAGAGGAGAGGATTTAGTCACAATCAATGGTTCTCTACAGAAACACATAAAAACACAGATTGGTAAAACACTTCATAAATGCGATGTTTGTGCCAGAGAATTTAGTCGAAGATATAACTTGAAGAGACAATTGAGAATACATACTGGTGAAAAACCTCATAAATGTGATGTTTGTGCTAAGGAATTTAGTCAAAGTAATGACTTAAAGAGACACTTAAGAACACATACTGGCAAAAGACCGCATAAATGTGATGTTTGTTCTAGGGAATTTAGTAAAGGTAATGACTTAAAGAGATACTTGAGAACACATACTGGCGAAAAATATGGAAAGCATCAGCTGTCATATATTACAGATTTACAAAACGTTATGCTGAAGCTTAAAATGTAATGTTAAGACAGCGTGATGTTGAATTGAGTCACCAAAATGCTAACTCTAAATTACAATATGCTAAGTTGAATTTGCGCAATGTTGACTTGCTATGACAAGTGCTTTAGTCGTGATAGTATAATGATAAGTCACGATGTTGTGATGATATGTCAAACACACGTAACGTTGGGTTTAAAGTACATGATGTGAAGTTGACGCTGCATGATGTTAGCTTGCAGATTGATACTGCTCAGTCATCCACATCGACAGCTATGACAACAAATAAAATGAATAGCTAAAATGTATGGTGCTGACTTGTTATTAATAAATGTTGAGCTGAGATAGTACGATGTTATATCATTGTGATATTACGATTGGTCTATCATGCAATCTGTTGATTTAAAACATCATGATGCACAGTTGAAAGTACATGATGTTAACTTAAGATAACACGATGCTACACCACTATATTGAAACGAAAGGTTTACCATACAATTTGTTGACTTAAAACAACACGATGCAACGTGTTAAGCAAAGATACTCACTTGAAACTACAGGACGTACAGTTGAAATTTTGTAATGTTAAGCTACGATAGCACGATGTTATATCATTATAATGTCACAATAGGCTTATTATACAATTTGCTCATTTAAAACTACACAAAGTACAGTTGAAAGTACGTGATGTTAAGCTAAGACAGCACGTTGTTATATCATTAGAATGTCACAATAGGCTTACCACACGATATGCTCGTTTAAAACTACACGACGTACAGTTGAAAGTACGTGATGTTGAGCTATGATAGCAATATCTTATATCATAATAATATCACGATAGGCTTGCCATACATATGCTTATTAAAACTACACGACGTACAGTTGAAAGTACGTGATGTTAAGCTAAGATAGCACGATGTTATATATCATTATGACGTCACGAGAGGCTTATCATACAATGTGTTGACTTGAAACTACACGATGTAAATTTGAAGTAGTTTGGTCTTGACTTGAAACAGTAAAATGTTAAGTTATAAAAACAGAACGTAAAGTCAAAATAAAACAATGATAGGATGACATATACTTGTGCCGACTTGAAGATTTTTGGTGTTGACCTCGAATATAGTACAAATATTAGATCGTTTTATGTTAAATTGAAAGACAATAATGATGCGTAAAACATTACAGAATTATGTGAATTGAAACTGCAATTCTATGGAAAAGAATGAGGGACAAATCCCGAGGATTTTTTCTTTTTCATTTCAAGTTCGGAGGCAAAATGATATACAAAGAAAGTTTTCCATAAATTCATAAAGCAAAAGAATTACCCATCGCTATATATTACACTTGAATACAGTTTTGCCGTATATTTTACATGTTTTGTTTGGATTTTTTTTTATGATTAAAAACCAAACTTTTTTTTATGAACAACATTCAAGAATATTTATCTATGTTGTGTGTTAATATATACAACATAATATTGTGCTTATAAGACTTATGACTGTGATGGTCAAATTTGACTCATTTAAGATCACATCTATGTAAGAGTTAGCGAAGAATTTGTATTTACCACTCCCGTTTTCCACGAAAAAAAAACATAAGAATCTGGAGTCTTAATCTTAAAAAACAAAGATCAACTGATATGACAAATAATACGATTAGCGTAGGACTGAGAGGGTCAGAGCTATATGAGTATGTGACCCCACCCCCGGCCTTGTTAGAGGTATCTGAAAATTTGAATTTTCTTTTCCACGAAATAAAACAAAAAGAATTGATAGTTGGAAGAATCCTACTGCATGGGGCCAACCCAAACATAAAGTATGGTAGATTCTGTTGTATACTTTTCGCTCATACATGAAGTCTATATGAAACCTAATGAAATTTGACCTAGAGCCTCCAGTCTAAATCGTCAACTTTCAAAAAAAAAATACATCATTTACAGTAGTGCCAACCATTTTTCCAGCACCAAGTAGAATAGTGCCCAGGTTTATGTATATATCCACTCTGAGAATATTTCATTTTTTTTTAAATTGGTAAAATCATTAATGGACTATAACTTATAATAAGACGCCAATTAATGATTTCTGTCACTTATTTTCTTGTCCATAGTGATTTTCTTGGTTCTTTGCAGCTTCTCTCTATCTATATGTGTTTTCAAAGAAAAAGAAAAAAAATCAAAAATCTGTAAAAATTGTTAAAGTCCATGAATTATTTTGGTATTGCTTTGATTAATTTGTAGATATGTTTTTTTGATGTCAACAGTTTCTCTCTCTCTCTCTCTCTCTTATAGTTTTCATGAGTGTGGTCTAATTAAAATCGGTGGATTTTTTTTTAATTATTTGCCAAAATGTAGTTTATTCTTTTTTGAAAAACATAATAAAAAGTTTGGGCCACAGAGCATTTTGCAAGCTACAGGTTATGCAGTATTGTCAGATTTTGTATAAACTATACATGGAAAACTCAATGTTAGAAAAAAAAATAAAAATTGGGATCACGAGACTCGTTTTCTGTCTACAAAACAAAATAGATAAAGTCCCTACACATTCCATCATTAGAGACGAAATATGCCAAAGGGATTTCAAACTCATAAGTCGAAAACAGACTGACAATGCCATGGCAAAAAATAAAAAAAATAAAAAACGACAAAAAATAATGTTATTCGAGTTATCTCCCCTATATGGAAAAGTTGAAAAACATATGCAAAAAAACGTTCTGTATTCAAAAACAAATAGTCGTTTGAATCAGATAAATCTCATAATTTTCTTCATCAAGATGAAAAGTACTACATATGAATAACTCCTCTCTCAGAATGTGTAGCCTTTTTTTTTAGTTGTAATCTCTGTCCTGCCTTTTTATTTTTCAATCTATTCGGTCCTGCATTTTTTTTTATTAATTTATTCTGACTTTTTTTTACTAATGAGGAAGAAATTTACAATTTCGGTCACGTCGAGTTACTTGTAAATCTCCTTTTGTTGAAAAGGGTTTCTGTTTTCATTTATCTATCTATTATACTGTTCAGGGGAGGGGAGAATCGAAAAAAAAAATACAGAAAAATGGATAAAAGAAGGCGAAAGATACAAAAGGGATAGTAAATCTCCTTTTGTAGAAAAGGTTTTCTATTTTCATTTATCTATCTATTATACTGTTCAGGGGGAGGGGAGAATCGAAAAAAAAAATACAGAAAAATGGATAAAAGAAGGCGAAAGATACAAAAGGGATAGTAAAAATCTTAACCAAACTGACAATGTCATGACAAAAACTCATTAGTCGAAATAAACGAGAGAAAAAAGATCAAAAGCCAAACAACAGTATATTAAGCGCAACATATAGAAACCAAAAACTGAGCAACACGAAACCCTCAAAAAAAGGGTGATCTCAGGTGCTCCAGAAGGGTAAGCAGATCCTGTTTCATATGTGGCACCCGTCACTTGGCGATTTTGCAAATAAAGAAGGAATGTGTTATAATTTTCGAGGAACTCCCAAAAAACATGAACTACAGGGTGTGAAATCGATGAACGTGCTTAAAATAGGCTCCTTTTTATAAAAAAGAATTGATGAAAATGTATTTGTATTTAGTGTACAGTGGCAAATATTACATACATATAAGGACGAGAATATGTAAGTGTAATATGAATATGAATAAATCTTGGCTCTGTACAAGACATATTTTGCTTGCTTAGCCGAATTTTTAACAAACTAGTTGACAAACCGACTCTGACAATCTACGGAAATCCAAATAGCATCGGTTTTGATTAAGTCCAGATTTTTTGGTTTTATTTCGGGGAAAAGGAGTGCATTTTACGTACAGTGGCAAATATTACATGCATATCAGGACGAGAACATGTAAGTGTGATATGAATATGAATAAACCCTGCTTTGTTACAAGACATACTTTATTTGCCTAGCCGAATTTTCAACGAACTATTCGACAAACTGTCTCTTTTGTTTTATTTCATGGAAAAGAACATTCAAATTTTCAGATACCTCTAACAAGACCGGAGGGGGGGGGGGGGGGGGGGGGTCACATTCTGATATAGCTCTGACCCTGTCAGTCCTACGCTAATCGTATTATTTGTCATATCAGTTGATCTTTGTTTTTTAAGATTAAGACTCCAGATTCTTATGTTTTATTTCGTGGAAAACGGGAGTGGTAAATACAAATTCTCCGCTAACTCTTACATAGATGTGATTTTATATGAGTAAAATTTGACCCTCACAGTCATAAGTCTTATAAGCACAATATTATGTTGTATATATTAACACACAACATAGATAAATAGATTCTTAAATATTGTTCATAAAAAAAAGTTTGGTTTTTAATCATAAAAAAAAAAATCCAAACAAAACATGTAAAAAATACGGCAAAACTATATTCAAGTGTAATATATAGCGATGGGTAATTCTTTTGCTTTATGAATTTATGGAAAACTTTCTTTGTATATCATTTTGCCTCCGAACTTGCAAATGAAGAAGAAAAAATCCTCGGGATTTGTCCCTCATTCTTTTCCATAGAATTGCAGTTTCAATTCACATAATTCTGTAATGTTTTACGCATCATTATTGTCTTTCAATTTAACATAAAACGATCTAATATTTGTATTATATTCGAAGTCAACAACTAAAATCTTCAAGTCGGCACAAGTATATGTCATCCTATCATTGTTTTATTTTGACTTTACGTTCTGTTTTTATAACTTAACATTTTACTGTTTCAAGTCAAGACCAAACTACTTCAAATTTACATCGTGTAGTTTCAAGTCAACACATTGTATGATAAGCCTCTCGTGACGTCATAATGATATAACATCGTACTATCTCAGCTCAACAACGCGTACTTTGTAGTTTTGAATGAGCATATTGTATGGCAAGCCTGCTATCATAGCTCAACATCACGTACTTTCAACTGTACGTCGTATAGTTTTAAACGAGCATATCGTGTGGTAAGCCTATCGTGACATTCTAATGATATAACAACGTACTTTCAGCTGTACGTGGTGTAATTTTAGATGAGCAAATTGTATAATAAGCCAATCGTGATATTATAATGATATAACATCGTGCTATCTTAGCTGAACAACACGTACTTTCAACTGTACGTCGTGTAGTTTTAAATGAGCATATTATATGGCAAGCCTATCGTGATATTATTATGATATAAGATATTGCTATCATAGCTCAACATCACGTACTTTCAACTGGACGTCGTGTAGTTTTAAACGAGCATATCGTGTGGTATGCCTATCGTGACATTCTAATGATATTACAACGTGCTATCTTAGCTTAACATCACATAGTTTCAACTGAAAATCATGTAGTTTTAAATGAGCATACCGTGTGGTAAGCCTAACATCACGTACTTTCAACTGTACAGGCGATAAACCTTATGACTGTGATGTATGTGGTAAAGGGTTTAGTCAGCTTGTTCATTTACAGACACATATGAGAACACATACAGGTGATTAACTTCATGACTGAGATGTATGTGGTAAAGGGCTAGTTAAAGAGACACATTGGAATACGTATAAAAAACTCATAAAGGAGATGTCTGTAAATGAGGGTTCAGTGAGAATGGTTATTTACATAGACACATGAGAACATGTTCCAGCGATGAGCGCATAATGCTAATTTTGTGCTAAATAATGTTCTTGTGGCTTACAGAGGACACATACTTATGACAAACAGCATAGATCATGTACATATGATGTAAGGTTCTTTAAACTTGTTTTTAGAAGAAGTGTCTTAAAGAGACACACGAGAACACAAATTGGAAATAACTATAAAACCTTATAAAGAGACACATGAGAACACACACTGGAAATAACTATAAAATATTATAAAGAGACACATGAGAACACATACTGGAAATAACTATAAAACCTTATAAAGAGACACATGGGAACACATACATGTACTGGAAATAACTATAAAACCTTATAAAGAGACGCATTAACGAGGGTCTGAATGGTGGATTCATTTCTGTATTCTTTAATTTTTAAAGCCATTTTTCTCTATTCTTTATTCTGTTTGCCCATTATTCTGTATCATTTATATTTTAGCACCTCATTATTCTGTATTCTTTTTTTTTGTCCATGTTTTCTCTATTCTCTATATTCTGTGTCCATTATTCTTTATTCTGTAAACCACAAACTGCACCCTCAGATATGAACATTTACTGGAGATAAGCATTTGTGATAGATGTTAACGTTTTTATTAGTTCCCTATCAACGAAGTCGAACTCTGTCTGTCTGTCTGTCTGTCTGTCTGTTTAATAAGATAGTTTTATCGGCATGACAATTAACAGATGAAGTGTGAATTTTGTTCCGGTATGATGGTTTTATGCAGAGTTATGGTTATTGGATTTCGAAAATAATCAGTTTTCAACTTTTTTCTTCCTGCTTAAAGATATTAATTTGATATTTAGTATACAGTTTTACCGTGACAAGTTACAAATCAAGTGTAAATTGTGTTCCAATCTGATGATTAGTTAGCAGAGAAATGGTCCTTGGTCTTCGGAAATTCTCTGAAATAATCTGTTTTGCACTCCTTTTTTGTCATGCTTGAAGGTATTGATTCGATATTTGTTATACAGTTTACACCATGACAAGTTATAGATAAAATTACAATTTGTGCCAGTACAATGGTTTTTGTCGAGCATGCGACTTCTGTCGCAGACAGCTCGGCATAGGGATAGTGATCCGGCGGCGGCGTTAGCTAACTACTTAAAAGCTTTATATTTTAGTAGGTCGAAGACCTAGATGCTTCATACTTTGTATATAGATGCCTTATGTCATGAAGTTTACGTCTGTCATATATCCATTGTCCTTGACCTCATTTTCATGGTTCAGTGACTACTTGAAAAAGTTAGAATTTTTATAATGTTAATTTCTCTCTTGTTATGAGTAATAGGATAGCTATATTTAGTATGTGTGTACCTTGCAAAGTCAACGTGCCTGTCCGGTAGTTTTCATCTGAACTCGACTTAATTATATTGATCAGTGAACAAGGTTGTATTCTTGGTCAAGTCCATATCTTAGATAATATAAGCAATAGGTCTATTATATTTGGTGTATGGAATTATTGTATAGTGTACATGTCCAACTGGCAGGTGTCATCTGACCTTGACCTCATTTTCATGGTTCAGTGGTTAAAGTTACGTGTTTGTGTTTTGGTCTTTTTTTTTTATTATCTTATTCTATATGCAATAGGTCACCTATATTTGGTGTATTGAAATATTTTAGTATACGATGTACATTTCAGTCTGGCAGGTTTTATTTGACCTTGGCCTCATTTTCACAGTTCATTGCTCATTATTAAGTTTTTTATGTTTTGGTCTGTTTTTCTTAAACTATAATAGCTCAACTATATTTGGTGTATGGTATGATTGTAAGGTGGATATGTCTGTCTTGCATGTGACATCTGACCTTGACCTAATTTTCATGGTTCATTGGTCAATGTTGAATTTTCGTGGTTAAGTTTGTTCTTAGATACTATAAGCAATATGTCAACTATATTTAATGCATATATTGATTGTTAGGTGTACATGTCTCTCTGGCATGGTTTATCTGACCTTGAACTCATTTTCATGGTTCATTGGTCAAAATTAAGTTTTCCTGGTCTCGTTTTTGTAGAGCCTGAGACATAGCGATCCTACATTCCGTCAGCGTCGGCGGCGGCGGCGTCCACAAATATTCACTCTGTGGTTAAAGTTTTAAGAATTTTAATAACTCTCTTAAACTATCCTGGATTTCTACCAAACTTGGACAGAAGCTTATTATGATGAAAAGCTAGAATTTAGAAGGAACAAATGATTTCCTGTTTTTCCATATATATCTTATAAATGGACTTAGTTTTTCTTCCAGTTTACATTACATACAGTCTGCAGTCATGATAGTTAAAGTTTTTAAAACATTTATTAGATGCATAAGGTAGGCGAGACACTGGGTTCCGCGGAACCCTTACGAATTTTTAAGAAACTATAAACAATAAGTCAACTATACTAAGGGTATGGAATGATTAAAGGGGTACATGGGATCATGTTAAATTTATGTGATACTTGTAGTAAAGCTTTATATTAAGAACTATCAATTTAAAATCAATTTAAAAAGGCGAGACACTTCAGTGTGTGCACTCATGTTTTAACAGGAAATCGACTATGTACAATGCAATACTCAAAATGTTTGTTTTGAATCTTCAAAAAACACTCAGGGGATTCACCTATGTATCTATATATGTGAATATTTTTACGTTACTCGGACAATCTTTCGACCGAAGAAAATGATCCCTCAGGATGACTGAGGTACACATGTATAAAAATACAGTAATATAGTTTAACAAAAATATCAAACTCGAAGGGAAATTCAAAAGGGGGAAGTCCATAAAATCTGACAAAATCATACGTAATGTTTGGTCTTATTCCGACCTGCAGTAAAACATTCGCCAAGTGCGTTTTTTTTTTTGCTGTGCGGGATGTATGAATGCGCAGCCTCGTCTGTTTTAGAATATGAAAATAAGGAGATGTTGTATGATTGCCAATGAGACAACAAGCAACCAGAGATCATATGACAAATATAAAAGCAATTTTATGTCCCTGTACGACATTCAACAATGAGAAAACTGATACTTAAAGCCGGCTATGAAAAGCCCCAACATGAAATATGTAAATCAATTCAATCGATATTAACAAACGGCCTAATTTATACAATACATTTTTTGAAAACATATATATTTAGACTTGTTTATATATATATATATAAAAGTCTAAATTGAAAACAACGTTCAAACCTATGATTGCGTTGGATAAAAACCGCAATTTTTATACGTGTGCATGCAAAACAAATTCTTGGTAGAGGGGTCTAAATACAGCACAAACAACATTTTCCAAAAGACCAAATGAGTGAAAAAGTATATTTTAACAAAACGCATTTGACTAGCAGGTCGAACAACTGATGTTCTTAAACCTTGCTGACTGCCATTGGCGATTGCCAAATAAACGGATCACAAGATGTAACAAAACAGATCTTATTATTAAATTATTACCAAACAGAAAACAATAAACTTGCGGAAAAGATGGTATACCGCAAATATGAGGTGCAAAAATTTGTACACCATATCCGGATTTCGACAATTAATGTCTCTTCAGTGATGTTAGGAATCGAAACGGTATTTGAAAGGCCATATAATTTACCTCAATTTAGGATAGACTCTTGAATTTTGAAAGAGTCAAAATAGGATGAACGGATCATATAAACCCGAAGGCAAATATAATACAAGCCCAAACGAAAAATTATAAACAAGTCTAAATTGAAAACAACGTTCAAACCTATGATTGCGTTGGATAAAAACCGCAATTTTTATACGTGTTCATGCAAAACAAATTTCTTGGTAGAGGGGTCTAAATACAGCACAAACAACATTTTCCAAAAGACCAAATGAGTGAAAAAGTATATTTTAACAAAACGCATTTGACTAGCAGGTCGAACACCTGATGTTCTTAAACCCTGCTGACTGCCATTGGCGATTGCCAAATAAACGGATCACAAGATGTAACAAAACAGATCTTATTATTAAATTATTACCAAACAGAAAACAATAAACTTGCGGAAAAGATGGTATACCGCAAACATGAGGTGCAAACATTTGTACACCATATCCGGATTTCGACAATTAATGTCTCTTCAGTGATGTTAGGAATCGAAACGGTATTTGAAAGGCCATATAATTTACCTCAATTTAGGATAGACTCTTGAATTTTGAAAGAGTCAAAATAGGATGAACGGATCATATAAACCCGAAGGCAAATATAATACAAGCCCAAACGAAAAATTATAAACAAGTCTAAATTGAAAACAACGTTCAAACCTATGATTGCGTTGGATAAAAACCGCAATTTTTATACGTGTGCATGCAAAACAAATTTCTTGGTATATATATATATATAGATTCTACCACTGCATCGAGTGTGATACGATATTTATCCACTCGAGACAGTTAAATTTTCAAATTTAAAACGCGAGGCTCGCGGAGCGTTTTAAATATTTAAAATTTAACTGTCGAGAGTGGATAAATATCGTATTACACGAGATTTGGTGGTGGAATCTGTTTCTCTAATGATTTTCAAACAATACGCAGGCAAATTTATTCCTTCTTTTCGAATGATCTGCAAAAAGATGTGCTCTTTCTATGTGACGTCATCAGGCATGGTCGCCTTTTTTCATGCCGTCACAATAGGAAATTCAGAAGAAAGCAAGAAAATTCGACGTCATAATCGGATTTTAACCAATGAAGAACTGAGATCAAACGAACCACACGTTGATTAAATTTTTTTTATACAATGGGTGCAGAAAGGGATAAATTGACGAATGATCACGAATGGTCAGATGGAATCAATAGAAAGAAATAATTAAATTTACAGTCTAATGTTTATATTATGATATTGAGGATTTTGGATTAAAATCAATCGACCAAAACTTACCTGTATTATTACTGATCTATGTTTACACCTTATACATTATATATCAGTATTGTTAAAACTTTTAACACTGAGGAAGGCCATTTGTTGAGCCGAAATATTTGCAATTATTGTATAATTTATATCATCTGTTCAGTTTTTCCATCTTTGTGCGATGATATTCAACACTTTTTAGTGTTTTGTTTTCCATCTATTTATCGGTATTGTTACACAATCTTTTAGACTCATATAATTTTCCCTGTTTGTGTAGTATTGTCAATTTTGATGATCCAATACCTATTAAGTTTACTGGTTGGTAGATTCTTATAGACTCTTATGACAGACTATGCGGTGAGGATTTTATTCATTGTTGAAAGCGACCTATAGTTGTAATTTCTGTGTCTTTTGTTCTCTTTTGGAGATTTGTCCTATTGGCTATCAAACCACATCTTAATTGTGATAATAAATGAATCATCTTTTCCCAGTCTAAAGTATTAATCAATCCACATCCAACGGATTTATTGTGAGGACGACAGTTATAAACCGTATGAGAAACTGTTACACATGACCTTGTGCAATGATACCCATTTTCCAGTAGCATTCCAAATGCCATGCCCTTTATGACGGTCGACAATCTATTGCAGGACCTATTGTATTTTACAATTGTTAATTTGTCTCATTCTGAACATGCAGGTGAGCTAAAACAGATGTGGTATGATTGCCAATGAGACAACTGCACAAGAGACCAAATGGCACCGAAATTAACATATGTATGTCACTGTACGGTACAGCTTTCAACAATGAGCAAAACCCATATCGTATAGTCGGCTTTTAAAGGCCCCAAAATGACAAAAGTAAAACAATTTACAAACGAGAAAACTAACGGCCTAATGTATGTACAAAATAATAAACAAAATCAAGTATGTTACACAGCAACAAACTACAACAACTGAATTACAGGCTCCTGACTTGGGACAGGCACATACATTACCATGTCTGCGGGCGCCTAATCTGGGACTTTGGTGTTAAAGTGGAACATACATCAATAAAAGCGCTGTTCCTTTGCTTTTCGTGTTTTTGCTGTTTATGAACCGACTTTGTCTACCCCTTATCCTTTCTTATCTATTATGTAAGAACTTATTGTAAAAATCAGTTGAAAAGGGTTGACTCGTCAGATTGATAAAAAGCTAAAAATAAATAAAAATAAAAAATAAATAAGAAAACCTACTTAACCGATTTACTCTATAATAAAATTGAGAATGGAAATGGGTAATTTGACAAAGTGACAACAAGCCGACCAAAAAGCAGAAAAAAGTTGAAGGCTACCAATGGGTCTTCAACATAGCAAGAAAATCCTGCACCCAGAGGCGGGCTTCATCTGGACACCTAAATAAAATGTGTACTAGTTCAATAAAAATGAACAGCACACTAAACTTTTTTCGCAGGAACTATGTACCCTTACAAACTAATGGAACATCCTACGGAGATGTTGTTTACCGTGCCTGGAAATTTAGAAACAATCCCGGTAAACTTATCGATCCTTTAAATAAACTTATTCTAAAAAGTTACCAATTCAACACTGTAATTAGATCATTGAATATTGTTTTTATTGGTATTAATATTGAATTTGTTAGCAGTAAATTAAAAGCAAACTAAATATTATTGTTATATACATAAACACATTCATGGATCTACAATCTGTCGATACCTGTATCTTGGCATTGCACAAGGTCATGTTTTTCTGACTGTTTATGACGTCTTTACACTAAATCCATTGGATGTCGGATGTGTACTGATTGACGATTTAGTCTTAGATGCATGATTTGTTTAATTAGTTGTTAGTGGCTTTGAACTAGCTGTCAGTAACTGCGAGTACTCTCAGATCTGTACTTAGTGTCTTTTTGTTGATGGGATATACAAGTACCCGGCCACGTCCACTCTTTTTTTGTTAGATGTGTTTCTATTTGTATCCATCTGATGAGTTAAGTCTTTTTCACCGGATTTGTATAGTTCGTTCTTAGGTTGTACTGTAACACCACTGTCCCAGGTTAAGGCAGGGTTGGGATCACGCTAACATGTTTTACCCCTCCACATTCTGTATGTATGTGCCTGTCCCAAGTCGGGTTCCTGTAATTCAGTGGTTGTCGTTTGTTGATGTGTTACAGATTTGTTTTTCGTTAATTTTTTGTACATAAATTAGGCCGTTAGTTTTCTCGTTTGAATTGTTTTACATTTGTCATTTCGGGGCCTTTTATAGCTTTTTATGTGGTATGGGCTTTGCTCATTGTTGAAAGCCGTACGGTGACCTATAGTTGTTAATTTCTGTGTTATTTGGTCTCTTGTGGAGAGTTGACTCATTGGCAATCATACCACATCTTTTCTATATAGAAACGAACTATTAGATATTTGAACATCGGAAAACTAATTTTAATTTGACGTTCAATGGAGAAAAAATCTAGGTATAATTAGGACGCCAAGAAACATAAGGTTGAACGGGATGACGGACGGTAAATTTAAATTGCTATTGAACAATGATGGAATGCTAAATAGCGGAAACATGTGAACTTGCAACATACTACATTTTGATCCATCAAAATTGTTTTAATGGTTCTATAATGTGTATAGAGCGTTGTACTCTCGCACGAGGGGACATATTATTGAATTATTAAGGGCATACGATACAGTAGCAGGGGCAGATAATAACGTTTTCAAAACTTTTCATGTTGTTTTCGCGACGTTGGTAATCAGAATTGTAATTTCGCGATGTTTCTAATAAGAACGATTATATTTGGCGACGTCGCTTCAGATCATGCATTCACATTTGCGGAAAATCCACTGACGTCATAATCCCGATTGCGCAAATTTGAAAAAAGTACCTGCAATGAAAATCGGCCAAATCACGAGAATTGTTATATTTATACATTAATAAGGAAGTCAACAATATTAACTTCGACTGGGAAAAAAAATCAAATCCACATTCGTATTTTTGTATGTCTGTTGTTTCATATAGGAAATGAATACGAGATATGTAAAACATAAGATGTCGATGAGAGAGAAACCCAACTACACAAATAAAAACAATAAGTAATGTATATAGTAACTTTACCATTTGGCAAACTCAAAATCGCAATTAAAAGTGTACGGATAAACAGAGACTATCAACAAAATGACAAAAAAATAATAAATAATGACAGCGCATCATACTGTTCCTGACTTTGGAAAGGTACATTAAAGAGTTAAACGGCATTTTTCAGAATTTAACCCAGTGGAATATATATGTGTATGAAGAAACGGTCAGTTAAAATGACACGGTTATAAGCCCCGTATTATAGACCAAAAACAAAAACGCACCCGTTGATGTGCTAAGCATATCCCCATATGTCATATTGAGAGAGTAAAACCGGCACACAGGAATTAGGTATTTGACAGACCAGAGTTACAACTCATTGATGTTAAGTTACTGACCAAATACGAAGTCTTTTTGTAATGTAATTTCCCAGATAAGAAACAAAATATTTGTTAGACCTGACAAACAATGTGGTTGCACTCACTCCTAGATTGAAGGTATAATACAGACAAGTAATCCAATGATTATATGTACCGTAATAAAAAAATACCCCGAAGACAAGCTTAGGTAACTTATCTATTGATACAGAATCATTAAATTTCATGCTCTAATATCGACTGCTGTACTTCCTATGAAATGTTATACTATAACTGTAATCAGGTAATGGACTAAGCTAAGCTAACCCGATTTAATGTGGGTATGATTTTGTGTTCATGTAATGCCTATAGAGTAGGTCGTTAGTTTTCTTGTTTGAATTATTTCACATTTTCATGTCGGGGCTTTTGAAAGCTGACTATACGGTGTGGCTTTTTCTTTTTTTTGGGGGGGTTGAAGGCTGTAGGGTGACCTTTAATAGCGTGTATCTTCGTCATTGGAACTATGGTTGATAGTTGTCTCTTTTGCAATCATACCAAATGCCCTTATTTTTATATTATCCCCCTTACTTTATAATTGTTGCACATTTTGTCATGTCGGGGCTTTTGAATAATTAAAAATATGCTAAAGCTGTGTTGTCTACATGAATTGTATGACTAATGTCGGACAGAGATGCAGATTAATTTTTTTATTAGATGTATCTGTTTTGTTTCCGAACATTTCTTTTCTAAAAGTAATTTACTAGAATACTTTTTCTATCCAAGTTTCGTAACAATTCATAAAGGTTTGGCAAATATTCTATGCTATTTTACGAGTAACCAGCTTTATTAATTTTCATGATTAATATCATTGCTTTCAAAAAAAAAAAAACCTTGGCTCTACCACTGACAACGTAGTAGTGAACGGCGAGAAAGATTTCACGACGTTGTTGCGAATAAAACTTATTTCAACGTAGTTTGGCGCCTTATTGGCAAACGTCCCGTTTGCCATTAAAAACTAAGATTTATTGCTTTTATTGAAAAACAAGCACATGGACCCCCAGTTTTTTCTTTTGCAATCTATCAAGTTCTGTTTCAAGAAAGCTCCGCCAAAATTTTAAGAAAAAATCAACGATAGAATTTTTTCTGCACTTCTGTGTAGACGCAAAAATATTTTCAACTTCTTTATTTCACTTGTATTAAAAGAATCCAGGATATAATTATTCATTTCAACCGTTATCATGTTACAGCATGCTGATGCCATGGATCAAGGGAACATTTTACAAAAAACCCGGTTAAATTATGACTGCTCGTTCAAAAGTATTGGTACTTTCCTTAAAAGTCCTTATTTATGAAATTTCAGGGTTTTTCCTTCAAATATGCAAATTTCAAACCAAATTATCTCAAAAAGTAAGTCATGAAGGTATATTTTTCTTTGCATATTTCAAAAGTACACATCGAAATTGACCTTCTACCAAAATTTCAAGAAAAAATCAACGAAGGATCTCTACTGTATCGTATGCCCTTAATTAAGTCTGAGTTCGTACTTAAAAGTAGGCGGGTTATGGTTTTCTAAATAAGACGTTTAACTAACCAAACACTTTTATTAAGCATGTCGTGAATACAGAAGTACTTTTTTCATAAAATTGGCTTTTTTTAATTGGTGTTAAAGTTTTCAACTTCTCTAAATCCTCAAATTATGGAAAACTATCCACGATTAACCAACTTGCATATTTTCCAGCTGTATTGTCGATCTCTGAAATAAAATTAAACTTTTTTACTTTTTTCTTGTTTGAATTATTTCATACATTTGTAGAGACTCTGCATTTTATAGCTTGCTTTGTAGTATGGGTTTTGTTCATTGTTGCTTGCGGTATGGGTTTTGTTCATTGTTATTTGCGGTATGGGTTTTGTTCATTGTTGTTTGCGGTATGGGTTTTGTTCATTGTTGTTTGCCGTACGATGATCTATAGTTGCTATTCTACGTTATTTGGTCTCTGTCTGAATGTTTTCTTATTAGCAGTCATACCACATCTTCTAATAATAACTATATATATATATGGTATGATTGCTAATGAAACCACTTCTAACAGAAACAGATGTATGGAAAATAAGAGTAAATATGGATTCGGATGAGATCGTTTAATGAAAACATTTTTTCAGAATTATATCAATATAAAAAAACAAAACAAGTATCAATATAAAAAAAAAAACAATTTTGATAATCTTCAGTAGTTGAATAAACATTTCAAATAATTTAAAGTCTATCATGAGCATATCAAGTTTTGGTTATGATTGTGCTTTGTCACCATTCTATGGTTATTTTTCTTCGACATATCTAAACTTGCGCATATCAGTTGTGTGTACTGGGACACCTCTTATAACGAAACCCTTTCCTACAACTAATTGAAATGTTGATTCTTATTAATGTTAATAGTTCTATGTATTGTTGACAATGTCTCTAGTAAACTTACTCATAGTGACCGTTATGTACACTGACATCATCTCTAGTAAAGGAACAATTTGGAACTTACTCGTGGAAATATCTGAACTTACTCATAGTGACCGTTATGTGTATTGACATCTCTAGTAAATGAACAATTTGGTACTTACTCGAGAAAATATCTAAACTTATTCATAGTGACCGTTATGTATATTGACATCTCTAGTAAAGGAACAATTTGGTACTTACTCGTGGGAATATCTAAACTTACTCTTAGTAACCGTTAACGTGCATTGACATCATCTCTAGTAAAGAAACAATTTGGTACTTACTCGTGGGAATATCTAAACTTACTCATAGTGACCTTTATGTGCATTGACATCATCTCTAGTAAAGGAACAATTTGGTACATACTCGTTGGAATATCTAAACTTACTCATAGTGACCGTTATGTGTATTGACATCTCTAGTAAAGGAACAATTTGATACAAACTCATTGAAATATTCAAACTTACTCATAGAAGTTGTGTGTTCAGGTAATACTTTTAATAACGTAATCATTTGATACACTCATTGAAATTTCTAAACTTACTCGTAGTAGTTGGAATGTGTACTGGAAACACCTCTTACAACGGAACCAGTTGGTACATTCACTGTATTGGGTTTGTCAAATTTATTCCTGAAGGTTGTTTGACATTGACTAAGATCCTTTCCTAAATGAAATACATAAAGAATTAGCTCCTTATTTGTAAATAAAGTTTGATATACGCAAACAAGAATAAATATTTGCGATTGGACAAGGCTTTGTAAATTCTTTTAAGCGTCGCCAGGAATGTAATTATTTAAACTTCAACGTGACTTAGATTTGGTTTCAGAATTGAATCTTATTGGCCTTTTCAGAATCTAAAAGTCTATGGGTAATCCCATTGCTCGTTTACCAAAAAGAAAATAACGTTACGTTATTGGTCCAATTTCTATTGTTTATATAAAAAAAAGAAGATGTGGTATGATTGAGAATGGGACCTCTCTTCACGAGAAACCAAATGACACAGAAATTAACAACTATATGTCACCGTACTGCTTTCAACAATGAGCAAAGTCCATAGGATATTTTGAACCAATCGTAACGTTATTGGGTGAACGCTTTTGAAAATATAACCCAGAATGCATTAGATTCAAAAATGGCAATTTGTTTTATATCAAATAAATCATATTTACAAAACTCACTTTTTTCAGTTATTTAGCTGAGGGTCTAAAATGGGTTTTACAGAATAGAGAATGGAATAAAATTTCATAAAAATGGGTAAGATATAAGGAATTGAGCAAAATGGGGTCCTAGAATATAAAGAAAAGAGAATGGGCAAAAAAAATAGAGTATAGAGAAAAATTACCTTAAAAATCAAATAGTACATAAATGAAGAATCCCTTATCCAGACCCTCTTAGCTGTATGAATTTTGATCACGAGGGAATCTCAAAGCCTATAAATTTTAAGACAATGAAACCTATGTACAAAATGTAAGAGCATCAAAATAAAATAGACTCAAAAAGTCATAAGGTTTATCGCTACGTACATGTAACATGAAAAGTTGTAATCATAAATTAAAAAAAATATATATGAATTTACAAACTATAACTTTAAATATCAAATACATCGTTTTAAACATAACAGTACCGATGAAATGAAGCAATTGCTTAACATCAATAAAACTATTTACCAGAAATTTGACAACATTTAAACCTGAACCTTCTGTCCTCAAAGTAGTTGTCATGGATGCTGTTTATACCAGTTAAAAATCCATAATGGCTGCATTGAAAGTTGAAGAAGTCATCCCAGTCATTCACATAAGAAGCTGATATACAAAATACAAATAACATATTTAGCAGTGGCGGATCCAAGGGGGATGGGGGTGTTCCGGGGGTTGGAGCCCCCTCTTTTTGGACTATCAATGCATTTGAATGGGGGATATATACTAGTAGTTGGAACCCCCTTTATCCTGGGTTGGGGAACACCCTTTTTAAAATTTCTGGATCCGCCCCTGTTTAGCATCTATTAACCGAAACAATATAAACTAGAATGTGTTTTAGTTGCATATATAAACAAGTTGCTTTAAAAAAAAAAAAGACAATACGTGAACCTTAGAACTTTTTTATTCTAATTATTAATTCAACCGAATAAAAAATTATATATCAGTGTTTACATGGTCATGTGTGTGAAAGTTAATATTTTCTTTTTATTGCAAATCATTACAAGTTTGGCATGTTGAGAGAAGTGTTAAATACAAAGCAATGAGGAAAAAAATAGATTCCCAGACGTATAATATCTTAAAGAATAATAATGATTCAAAACATGGGGCACACTTGTAACTTCTTCCAAAAATTCATAAAATTAATCTAGAAATAAGTAATGAGGCATTGCGAACTGGTCAGCTAGCAGGACACATTAATGTTCGTTATCGACCAATCATCAATAAATGCAACTCTCCCGCGAGAGATACTTACTTGATCTAATTATACAACCATTATTGAAGAGGCATAACTTTTACATTCAAGATAAACAGATTCCATTAATAAAATAGAGTCACACGAGGTAAAAAAAGAATGCATTCTTATTGCCTATGATGTACGTAAAGGTACACAAATATGATCATTGATAATTAAGAAGAAACGTACTGTTATCAATGCATTAGAATTTATTGACACACAGGAGAATATACTTTAAAGATTCTCAACAAAATAGATTTAACTGCATTTGTTAAATTAATTCTTAGAAACAATGAATTTGAGTTTAATGGACTTTTATACAAACACATTATAGGAGCGCCAATGGGTGATATATTTTCACCAACATGCACAGATCTACATCTGTCTGTCCTATTCATTAAAATCTTAGATAAGTTCCAATGGAGAGAAAACATCAAATTACACTGTCAATAGGGATGACGGTTTTATGGTCTTCACAGGCAAATTAGAGCAAGTTGAAGATTTCTTTAACCTAGCAAACGAAATTGACCATCTACTTTAGTTCTAATATGAGGTGTCGACATCTAATATGACCTATTTAGAGGGTGGTAAAGGGTTATTTTCGTGCAACGTTTTCGGCCTTTTTATTTCACGTGATTTCGTGTTTTATTTCTCGTTTTCTCGTGTTTGGTTCGACGCGCGTTCTTCGTGTTTTCCCTTAATTATTTTCCGTGTCTCGTGTCGGTACTCTTATTTTCTCGTGCTTGTCCCGCATTTGATTAAAAAATAAACCGGGACTAATTCAAAGTCAGCCCAGATATTGTTTTAAATTATAAACTGATTAACTGGTCCCAAGATATTTATTAATAGCCTATTGTATTACATGATAAATCGTATGCAACTAGAGGACGCTAAAAGTGACCACATGATGGTTCGCCATGTCAATTTATAATGACTGCATGATCTCCAAGAACGGCTGAGTAATAACTTTTGGCATTTTTTCCTAAATATTTACGATTTTATTCCTTGGCTTCGTTTTTCCAGAGGGTTTTTTTCCGTGCAACGTTTTTGCGATTTGTTATTTCACGTGTTTCCGTGTTCAGACCCCCCCCCCCCCCTTTTTTACCACCCTCTATTTAGATACCGAAGTGTACAAAGGTGATCAATTCCATAATAATGGAAATCTTGATATTAAGTCACGTATATTAAAAACACAGAAACGTATCAATATTTACCAATCACTAGTGCACATCCAAAACACACATAAATTTAAGAGTATTAATTTACAGTGTGTGAATAATATAAGAAATAAAAGTGACATCAATGAATTAAATAAACATTTAATTAGCTTACAAGATAACTTAATTGATAGAGAATACTGTAAAAAGGAAACAGTAAAAGTTGTAAAAAATGTATATTAACGAATAGTCTTAATATTTTATTTGTTTTATTTTCATTTGATACAGATTTTTTTTATCTGATTTGTCAAAATGACAAGTATGCATAATGATTTTATTGTTACAAATCAAATCCCAAAGCCCACTATAACTCATTATGTAGAAGCCACAGCACTATTTTAAAATATCTCTCTGAATATCTAGACACAGATGTTTGATACCATATGCATAGGTCGTTATAATTAAATCTTGACCATTTATCTTTCACTTGTTTATCAAAGGGTACAACTGTCAACTTTGCTCGTCAGTAAACAATTGCAATGCATAAAATGTAGCTTTACAATAAATATACATGTTTGAAAAGGATCTATAGATTGTTTATTATCATATATCAGATAAGTGAATTAGCGATCTGTGAAAATTCTTTATTGTCATGTTTTAAATATCTTAATTAGATACCCCGTATGGAGGTGCTCTTAATTGCAGGAAGCTAATACAGATAAGATGAATAGGTGTTCCGAATGAACAATAATTTAGCTTCCGAATATTCCTCCATAGACTATATTTCTAACTAATTTATATGCGTGAACCCTCAGGGGTTCACGCAATGAGATGTGATACGAGTGCTAATGAGACAACTCTATATCCAATTCACCATGTACAAAAAGTAAACAATTGCATAGTTTACATATTCAGACGCCCTGGTGTTACTTCAGTATTCACTTTAAAATGGGCATAGTAAAGTTGTTCTTTCGAGCTGTGGGTTTTGTTTGTCAAGTGGTTTAAGCAGTTCATATAGAAAACCAATAGCCTCAAAACACCGAGGTTGTAAATAGTGTACGTGTCGTGTGCTTTAATTGACTAGGATTTCCGAATGTCGATGGTTTTCTTGAGCACTTCGGTTTCCTCCACCAATAAAACCTGTCAGTCAAGATGAAGCCAAGAAGACTAAAAGTTGTGTAACTGACTGTAATATTACAGAAATAAATTCATTGTATGTAAATAAGATAATCTATAATTGATACAACGATAAAAGTTGCATGTTTACCAGTCTTCGAACAAATGACAAAAAAGCCGCTCGTAATCACTAGAGAAGCTGCAGCTGTTATCATTATATATTTTGTGTAGTCATTACAAGATGACAAACAGCAATGAAATATTGATATCAATGAGACACCAACCAAACTTAAGATCACCTAATTTATTTATTATATTTAAAATTTTAATAAATAATATCAAATATATATGCTTGCTAACTGGTTTTGATTTAAAATGTTATTTAATATTTACGAGTCCAGTAACAATGATCGTATTGTCCACCAGTAGATCTACATCCTAATGACCATTTGCGATCTTCAAAATAGTTATTATGTTCACTGTGGATAACAGATAGGGCTTGACCATTTGGACACGAAAAATCGACCGGCTCATCAAACTTGTTGACCCATGTCCATCCGACCACAAGATTCAGTGTGCATACCAAACATACGATAGTTAACATCAGCATCGTCAGTCACTGATTTTACTGAAAGTAAATAATAGTATTATATATACAGTGGAGATCACTTCTAACCTCTCATTAAAACTGTCAGAATAATCTGTCATAGAACTGTTCTAAACTGTCCTAGAACAGTTCTACCTAGAACAGTTCTACCCTAGAACTGTTCCAAGTAGAACTGTCAGAATCAGTTCTAGGTAGAACTGACCAAATCAGTTCTAGGTAGAACTGTCAGGATCAGTTCTAGGGTAGAACTGTCTAAAACTGTTCTAGGTAGAACTGTTCAAATCAGTTCTAGTCGTAGAACTGTCAGCAGAACTGACCAAATCAGTTCTAACCGTAGAACTGTCAGTAGAACTGACTAAATCAGTTCTAACCGTAGAACTGTCAGCAGAACTGTCTAAAACTGTTCTAGTCGTAGAACTGACCAAACCTGTCAGCATTGTAGAACAGTTCTAAATGACGTCACTGCAATTTTTTAATATATATTATATTCTTTTGACTTATTTATATTTAAGACAAAGAGTTCTTAAAAAGTGTTCTATGGATAGAACTGACTAAATCAATTCTAGCCGTAGAACTGACCAAATTAGTTCTAATCGTAGAACTGTTCTAGCCGTAGAACTGTTCTAGTCGTAAAACTGACCAAAGATTTGGTCAGTTCTAGGTAGAACTGTCTAAAACTGTTCCAGGGTAGAACTGTCAGGATCAGTTCTAGGTAGAACTGTCTAAATCAGTTTTAGGTAGAACTGACCAAATCAGTTCTAGGTTGGAACTGTCTAAAAGGTGTCAGGATGACAGTTCTACATACTGTCCTAGAACAGTTCTCCTGACAGATTCTGACAGATTTGATGAGAGGTTAGAAGTGATCTCCACTGTATAGATACAATTTAATTTTGGATGTAACACAGTCTTCTGATTGGCTGAATTTTGTTCGTCTGTCAGCTTATAAACATAATTTCGTCATGTGGCCGTGATGTCATAGAAGTTTTTTTTTCATGATTTATTCCTTAAAAATGAAATTTAGAATTTAACTATAAGGAATGACTAATTAAAAGCTGAAAATGAATCTAAATTCTCTGTATAGTATAGGCCTTAATCGGATTGGCATCAGCTCAATTACAAACACTATTGTTTGGAAACGTATTGTGTTCGTGTTAGCTTTGGGGGCAGTTAACATTTTCTGAAACTGGAATGTTAGAGCAAACACAGTGATACTTTGTACGATTAAAAATAGGTTTAGATAAACGGTCACCAATTGATTTTTGTACAAATACTGTCGGACTCTGGTTCATACAAGGACCGTCACTCGTCGATAAATTCAAATTATTGTTCTTTAGACGGTTGTTAAGAGCTAATTCCAATACAACTCATAAACAATTATTTAATCTAAGTCTCGGTCAACTGTTGCTTGGCGAGTCCGATAACTAAGCGTTCAATAACATACGACTTAATAAAAAAATGCATTCCTTTCTTGAGAAAAAAGTAAAATCACAACAATACTGAAACCCGAGAGTTGCATGAATGATCTGTATATCCATGACAAAAAACTATGGTCAAAATTTTGAGTCAACCATTTGAAATCCGTGAAAAAAATATTTGGAAATCATCTATTCAATGTCGACCAGAACTTTGTCGTTATTACAGACTTTTACGTCTTGCCGCTGTCTATCCGCATTTGAATAAGTTATAGGTCATGGTAAAACTGGGCTCAATAGCAATAAAGGACGGCCAGTGCTCTTTATGCGGTTGCCATTCCACTGATGTTGTTCAACACTTAATTTTATTCTGTGAAAAACCTTTGGATGCAATAAGTAACATGTTTTACAGAATTGTTGTCGTTTGTACGTTTTTTTTTCGGCAAGATGGTGAAATAGTCGTAGCCTTACTTGGTAACATTACAGATACTATGCAATCTGTGAATAATATCTTGAGGGAACGACATAGCATCTTGAGGGAACGAGCTAACTATCTCGTGGAAACGACATAGCATCTCGAGGGAACGAGATAACTATCTCGTGGAAACGACATAGCATCTTCAGGGAACAAGATAACTTTCTTGTGGGAACAAAATAGCATCTCGAGGGAGCGACATAGTATCTTGAGGGAACAACACATTTTTTTTTCTATCATGGCCGCATTCTGCCACCGTACTTATTTGATATACAAGCGGTTAAAACCTTAATTTTAAAAAAAAAATATAGCGGTTTTTCGTTGTGACAAGATAGCTATATTTTTTGAAGTCATTGCGATAGAAACTAAATATATCATGAACCAGGAATAAAGTAAATCAACTTTTTGAATATTATAATATTTTTCCTTTCATCTTTTCCTATTTCACGATATAAATGCACAAACCCGATATATATGGAAGGTAATATCCGCCATAACTAAAAATTTCTTAATTTGTGAAATGCAATCTCTTTAATTCGTAAGGGAGCGACCATTTAACTTCAAAAAGGGGGGGGAAGTAATATTTTTTTCCTGAAAAAAATATTTTGATTCCCGATTTGATGAAAAAAAATATTCGGTTCAAGCAGATGACAAAAAAAATATTCTGAATGCAGATTCCCCCTATCATACCTTATAGTGTTAAATTTTGAAAAAAAATTGATTGATAGTGTCGAAAAACTAAAAAATGTGTTCGAGCTTTGCGCGAAAAAAATTTCTGACTCAGAAAAAAAAACTACAAACTCCCTTGAAGTTAAATGGTTGCTCCCCAACATGCAATTTCTTAATTTGACACATGTATTTTTTCCATCCGTTACATGAATTTCTACATTTCTTGATTTGTGAAATGTAACTTCTTAATTTGTTAACGTATTTTCTTCGTTCGTTACATGAATTTCTACATTTCTAATTTGTGAAATGAAATTTCTTTGTTTGAGTCACGTTTTGGGATGTAGAAATTCATGTAACTGATGGAAAAAGCACATGTTACAAATTAAGAAATTGAATGTTACAAATAAAGAAATTGCATGTTACAAATTAAAAATTTACACTACAAATTAAGAAATTACATTTTACAAATTTAAGAGTTGTATGATTATGGCGGATATTCCCTTCCATATATATATACTTACCTTGCATATGCTTGGACATTTTTCAGACCGCTTCCAAACATGGCATTTTCTGGTTTACGGTTTCAGTGATATTGATTTTGCTTTAACACTCATGACAAATAACTATAAAAATAGCAATTCTTTTGTGAAGTTTTACGATGATCGGAGAAAAAATACGATATGAAAGACACGGAACTCCGATCTTTCGCACATAAAATGTAACGTTGGACGTTACGTTTTCGTGCAAAAATGGGATAATCCAGTGTTATAATTTTTGGTATCTAAATTTCAGTTCCCATTTTTCTTTATTTTCAAGTCTATTGTAATCAATTCAACCAAATATCACTATTTTTATCGAACTGACCAGTCTATGTATTTTTTTTTATAAATTAATCTATAGCGAAATGGAATTCGCATCAACAACATGAGCATAGTCAGTGTAATTTAAAATGTATTTATTTGTTTGATCAAGATTGTTTGAATATTATGTGTTCTTTGCGGTTTTCTTACAGGATGTGACCAGATTTTATGCTGTAATATGATATTACCTGGATTTTAATGTATACAAAAATGTGGTATGATTGCCAATGAGGAAACTTCACAAGAGACCAAATGACACAGAAATTAACAACTATCAGTCACCGTACGGCCTTCAACAATGAGCAAAGCCCATACCGCATTCAAAGCTATAAAAGCTACCGAAATGACAAACGGCCTACTTAATGTACAAAAAAATTAACGAAAAACAAATATGCAACACAGCACTGACAAACGACAACCACTGAATTACAGGCTCCTGATTTGGGACAGGCACATACATACATAACGGTGGCGGGATTAAACATGTTAGCGGGATCCCAACCCTCCCCTTACCTGGGACAGTGGTGTAACCGTACAACATAAGAACGAAGTATATAATTCAGTTCAAAAAGGCTCGACTCATCAGATGGATACAAATAGAAATACATCTAACAAAAACAGAGTGGAAGTGGCAGAGTACCTTATACATCCGAATAACAAAAAAAAAAACAAGCAAGTACAGATCTGAGAGTACTCGCTGTTACTGACAGCTAGTTCAAAGTCATTAACAACTAATAAACAAATCATGCATCTAAGACTAAATTATCAATCAGTACACATCCAACATCCAATGTATTTGACATTGTGCATTGCCAAGATACAGGTATCGATGTGTATTTAGAAAATAGGAAAATGAAAATACACATGAGTTTCATTTGAAACGGTAAACACAGTTACATTTTAAATCACCTTGTTTTCAGATGTCTATTGTCCATCTATTGTCAATTTAAATTAATACAATTCACAATATTTATTACATGAGGGGAACTTCTGAAACCTTTTCCCAAACTTAATTTTTTTTTGGTTCCTTCTGCACGGACGAAAAAAAATGAATTATAGCAAAATCTAGTAAAGTTTTTAATATTTTGAAACTTAAAATGCATTTAAATTTTATTTATCTAGGCCCAGCCATGCTCCAAAACTTTTCCAGATGCAAAGGTTTGTCTGTACTACCAAAAGTGAAATTTGTAGTGTAAATACGGTCATGTTTGCGAAAAGGTTATGATGAACCTTAAACCTGTATATATTACATTTAAATTTAACAGGACGTCATTCCAATTACAATTGTTCAATATTCAAATAAAGCAAGCAAGCCAACCAAAGTCTTACTCTACATGCATTATGAAATAAGCTCTAACGAAAATATACATATTAGAATCGAACCTTAAAAGTAAGATATAGAACAAACAAACCTGTAAATATGTAGCTTATGCAACAGCCTGTCCACGGGCTTCAAGTTCAACGTCTGAATACAGAATACAGGTCGGCAAAGATGTTACAGGTATAAGAAGGGATTTTTGGCGGTAAAAATAAAGCATGCAGATAAAAAGGTGTGCTTGAAGTTTTGATTTGTTATTCGTCAAGCGTCAATGTACGGAAGCCGATAAGGGTTATTCAAAAACAAAAAAAATATGTCGTAATTACAACATAGCATGTCGTAATAACGACATAACTATGTCGTAATAACGACATAACTATGTCGTAATAACGACATAACTATGTCGTAATTACAACATCGCTATGTCGTAATAACGACATCCTTATGTCGTTATAACGACATCGCTATATATATATATATATATAAAATAGTATGTATTATGATTGCCAAGAGACTATATGACACAGAAATTAACAACTATAGGTCATCATAATGCCTTCAAAAATGAGAAAAGCACCCACATAGTCAGCTATAAAAGGCCCCGAAATGACAAATGTTAAACAATTTAATTCAAACGAAAAAACTAACGGCTTTATTAATGTACGAAAAATGAAAAAAAAACAAAAAACAAATATGTTACACAGCAACAAACGACAACCACTGAATTACAGGCTCCTGATCGCTATGTCATAATTACGACAACCTTAGCGTTGCCACTTTTTGAGGCGATAGAAAATACAAAATGGTCGTCAGTGAGGGCAAAGTTTGAAGCGTAAACATATTCATCTTTTTTTGGAGAATAATGAACACTAAATGCAATCAAGCTTAATTAAAGTTATTTACTTGCACATACTAGAACTTCATTTCATAATCAAGTCAAATGAGACCCAGTTGCACAGGGGAGCGATTCGGGCTTCTTGGAGCCTCTAGTTATGTTTGGCATGTACAGATTCGTGTAAAATATGACTGCATTTCCATTGCAGATTCTGAAGAAGATGAATTTTAAGCTTTTCCAAATAAAGACGGTTAAACTTTGGACTCCTAGTCCTCAGACCCATGGATCTCTGTACCTTCATTTGTACACAATGGCCTACTGATGCTTGATGCAAATTATAACTGCATTGCTACTGTTGGTTCTTTATGAGATTCTTACAGCGTCCTCCCCATTGAAGCCTGTATTAAACGTTGGACCCCAAGTTCTTTAAACCAATGTTCCCCAGGACAACTATTCCTACAAACTTAGTGGAGGGTTGGGATCCCGCTAAAATGTTTAACCCCGCCACATTCTGTATGTATGTGCCTGTCCCAAGTCAGGAGCCTGTAAATTCAGTAGTTGTTGCTTGTTGATGTGTTACATATTTGTTTTTCGTTTATTTTTTGTACATAAATTAGGCCGTTAGTTTTCTCGTTTGAACTGTTTTACATTTCTTATTTCGGAGCCTTTTATAGCTGACTATGTGGCATTGGCTTTGCTCATTGTTGAAGGCTGTACGGTGACCTATAGTTGTTAATTTTTGTGGCATTTGGTTTCTTGTGGCATTCATACCACATCTTCTTTTTTTATATTTAATCCTCATCATATAAGGATCATCCATTCTCTAAGATTGATCCAATATGGCCTGTAGTTCTTAATGAGAAGATTTTCAAACCTTTTTCCATTGGAGCTTATGTAAACTTAGACCCCTAATAATCGAGCCTAATTCGTACCCTGATCTTCACCTATCACCTAAGGAACTTGTGTCTCGTACTCGAAGCGGTATGCGAGCGATTGCTATCGTTTGTTGTCCGTCGTCGTCTGTCGTAAGCGTGTTTTAAAAATCTCCTTTGAAACTACGGTACAAAATTCTTTAAAAGTTAGTTTGATTTTTCCTTGTTAAATTTTTCCTTCACAAAAGGCGTGCTTTGATTTTTGACTTCTTAAAAACACAGCCGCTGTTATTAACTTGAAAATATATAGGACATAATGGTCACACATTAGTTTTTTGATAATGTCTCGAATATCGTTACATTTATCTCAAATCTGTTGAGGGTTCATCATGACAAAATGGACCTATGCCGAAAATTTCAGAAAGATCAGTTTGACCCATATCTAAGTTGTGTCCTCTAAAACATTTTTTGGGGATAGCTACATGTATTGTCATCACTTGAAGTCCGTCGATTTTGACCGGCAACCAACAACATGGACACTGTTACTAAATAAAGGCAACAGTAATATACCGGTGTTCAAAGGTCATAAATCGATTGAGAGAAAACAAATCCGGGTTACAAACTAAAACCGAGGGAAACATATCAACTGTAATAGGAAAATAAACAAACAACAGGAACACTAAAGTGAACAAAAATAAACTCTTAACATACATAGAAAGAACTATTTGATAACAACTGTCATATTTCTGAATTGGTACAGACCATTTTAAGAACAAATGGTGGGTTGAACTTGGTTTAATGGCTAGCCAAACCTCCCGCTTTATGACAATGTTAAAAATGGCGCTGAAATGATAACACTACGTGACAGAAATACAGATCAAACACACGCAAGACCATATATCACAGAAAAACGCACAAACATATAATATACTATAGTGTAGTAATAGTCGCAAAACATGTAAACTGCAGAACAACAGCGAACATATTTCATCAACGACAAACACCACAGGATATAAAAAACAGTTAAGCGCTTACGTAACTCAATTGTAATCTCGAACTGTATGCAATTATTTCCCCAATACTATACAAAAAGACCACATAGCGAAATAGCAGATTTTTACCTCGCCTGCGACGAACGTCATAAATGGCGAAACTTCAGGAATTGATTTTGCGGAGACGGCGGCTAAACTTTTATCAACATTTTGTGATTTTTGTAATCTTTAATTAAAATTTAACGATAAATACAGACGATGACGGACGACAAGCGATTGCAATAGCACACATAATCCTTCTGGTACTTAACACATCTTCTTGATGTGATCTACATAAATGCCAAATATAAATATAGAGGTTCCAACAAGCCTGAATCATTCACCATTTCAATGGGTCCCATTAGACTTGATTATGAAATAAAGTTCTATTATGTGCAGACATATAGCGTAACTAACTTTAATATTAATTACGCTTGATTAAATTCAGTATTTATCATTCTCAAAAATGAATATGTTTACGATAGGGTTTTGATACAAACTTTGCCCTCACTGGCGGCCATTTTTAACTTCGGATCAGCTCAAACGTAAAAACTCTTTTTAAGGACCTGGATACTATTTACACATTGTATATTTATACTAAGTTTAAGCTCAGTCATTTCAGCGATCTTGAGAAGCAGATTTTGAACATTGATTTTTTCAAAGTCCCTTGGCGGTCATGTGTTTTAACCAATGTGTAACTAAGTAATAACACTTGAATAGGACCTTATAGTGCACACGTATATCAAGTTTGATTCAATTCTGATAAGTAGTTCTTAAAATAAAGATGAAAATGTTGTTTCCCATAGTGTTTCGATGCTCACAAAGTAGCAATGTTAAGGTTGTTGTTATAGATGATATAGATGATATGTCGTAATTACGATATAGCGATGTCATTATTTCCACTTAAACCATTGTGGTGACGTCAGCCTATTCATTTACCGTGGATTCTTTTTCTAGAATCAACGTTTCCTAAATCTGCCGCTGAAATGGACTCACCAAATTATATTCAATTGTTTCCTTTGTGTGTCTAATTTCATTAAGTTTGAATTGGCTAATTTACTGATTTCTGTTCACTAATGGAATTATTTTAAAAACTTACCTTTAATTTTTGTAATTTGTATATGCCTTCACTGGGAATCGAACCCTTCCTTGAAATCTGTTATGAATGATTGACATCAACACATCGACGAAACCTCTCGGCTACCAATCGGTTACAACTTAGATGTCTATTTTATATATATAAATAAACATCGGACACACAGGGGTTGTACCTTTATATATACACAATGGGCAGTCGTGTAGTATAAGTTGGTAGCCGCGAGGTTAGCATGCTTAAAATCAACAAGTTAAAAGATAGGGATTTGTCGGTTTAGGTTCGAATCCCTGTATTATATCTGTTGTCCCAATTCTGTTTTTTTTTCTAATTTTGCATGTTATAGTGGATATTTTTGTAATAATAGCAATTTACCGTTTATTTTTTGGATTATTATTGGCTATTTCACTTGTTTGAAACAAAAATGATTACATTCTATTTGTCAATTTTTGTTGTATAAATATAGTATGATTTCATCTGTTTTACTACATAAGTTTACAAATGTTTGTTCGCAAATTCCTATGCGAGAAAATCGTGATGTGCCTTGAGTGCTAGAAATTTCGGTAACATACTTATTATATATACTTTATATATGCTCTTTGGTCGGGTTGTTGTCTCTTTGACACATTCCCCATTTCCATTCTCAATTTTATTAGAAATAAGTTCGAATATGTCTTATTTTGTAAAAACAGATAATATTCAGATGCCTGATAATATAAAGATCTTTAAAGGTAGAAGTGTTATATTTGTATTTTGTTAACCAAATAATTGTGATCTGAGATTTATCAATGCATCGTTGGACACGATAACATGGTTATTTAAACTCATTTACAATACCTTCTAATTAAGAAAAGGCTTTAATTTTGAAAAGAAATTAACACAATAGTTTAAGTTATAGATACAATGGATAAGCGTAGATTCATGAAAAACAAACCATTCGCCCTCCGGGCTCATGGTTTCTTTTTCAAGAATCCACGCTTATCCATTGTATCTATATAACATAATATGTCGTTATTACGACATAGCGATGTCGTTATTTCCACATAATATGTCGTTATTACGACATAGCGATGTCATTATTTCCACATAATATGTCGTTATTACGACATAGTGATGTCGTTATTACGACATAATTTTTTTTTTTGAATGACCCTTATCGGCTTCCGTATCAATGTGATATGATAATGAATATGACATCTGAAGTATGATATAAATACATTTATAGCATAGAAAAACATGAATAACAATTATAAACACAAGAAATATTTCATGCAGTAAACACAGTCTTCAAAAAAGGGAAAACGACGAGTACAGTGTTTCACAGGGGAGGATATCTCAGATACAATTTTCATATTATTTTTCACACATCAATTA